CTCATGTGCGCTCACTACCTGTCGGAAGAGGGGGACGAGGCGTCCATGGATCTCTTCTGTAAGCGCAACGAGATAGTGGTTTTAGTCTAGGTTTGGCGCTCTTTATCATCTCATACGCTTAAGATTGCTCGATAATGTCGTCAGACAATGGAAGTGATGGCCTATTCGTACTTTTTTCGCTTCTTCACTGCAAGAAGACTAACCGTTTCCCTAACGAAATCCTCAGCCTGGACGAAGTCGCGCAAAATTCCGACTGCGAACCACCCCTAAATGCTCGAAGTCACCTTCGACAGCCTGCTCTCTTTCTCGGCGCATGCAACCGCAATTGTGAATCAAGCACAGAGCCGCAACAAAGTCCTTAAATAACTGGCCGTCAGCACTTGAGGCAAAGGACATGAAACGTTATTGGCAACTTACAAGGAAATTGGCCAGCCGGTTCTAAGCTATGCAGCAGCCGCGTAGTTGCCGGGAACTAGCAGAACGAAGTGGTTAAAACTACAGATCTGTCAGAATACGGCACTCCGGGAAGCCACGAAATGCCTTCTCATACCGCCAGAACATCATCTCCATAGAGTGGTCACCCGAACCTACTCCTGCTTTCGGCAGAGCCCTTGCCAAGGCACGGCAGAAGGCCCGGTGTCCCGACGTGTATATACCAACCACTGGACCCGATTCTGTACAGACAATCCATAAACGGCATTCATAGGGAGTCTGGCTCAAACTATGCCAACTCCCGACTCCAATCTTTAAATGTCGTTTTATGAGAAATACCACCTACCGTTGATAAGACAGAACAGAGGTTCAACTGTCCCGGTAGACCCGCACCACGCTTTTTCAACTTCGTTCGAATACTGCAGCAGAGTTAACTCATACTTGAGCAAAATAAATTCTGACGTACTACTGAACACCATTTTACTGATGCGCTGACGATCGTCGGCGATGACGATGGCGATATTCAGCATAGGGCCGAATATATGTGCACTAAACCTAGTAATCTTAATAGAGACTAGTCTGTATCTTCTTATCAACATTGTACAACGATGCCTCCCATAACAGATTGTTCCATCACCTACATATAGACAAATGTTATCGAACGCTCCTTTAACTTTATTTACTTTAAGAACGGAGGACTAACTTCGGTAGAGTATGTTCCAAATATACCTTCCTTCTTCTGCAGACAACAGCGGTTGGGAGACTTGGTTTCAAAACTCCACGCACGTACAAACAGCGAAGCTGTATAAGAAAATGGAGTTCGTTTCAACTTTGGAGGAGGGTATTGGCAATGTTACGCAAAGTTTCTTCTGGAATTACGCTTTTCTAGGTTCTGCGGCGCAGCTGGAATTCATGGTGCAAAAAAATTTCACCGATGAGTATGTGCAGCTAACTCTTGAACAACGTAAGTGCCACATTTATCTTTACACAATTCTCTCCCACCCAGGAACATATCGCGTCGTTCAGCGCTTCACCTCAGCGAGGAATGCTTCGCGTTATTTCAAGTCGGTTTTCTCTATCCGCGCCACTCCGTTTATAAGCGCAAAATAGATTCAATGATCTTATTGGCACAGCAAAGTGGCTTAATGAGCAAAATACTGAACGAAGTCCGTTGGTCTATGCAACGTTCCGCCAGTGGAAAACTGCTGCAAGCGAGCTCGTCAAATTCATTGCGCGAGCGCATACAAGAAGAGCGACAATTGACCACCGCCGATACCGAGGGAATGTTTCTACTAATGGGTATAGGTTATCTATTAGGTGCGGTGGCGCTCATTTCCGAAATTGTGGGCGGCATAACAAATAAGTGCCGTCAAATCATACGACGTTCGCGTAAGTCCATTTCCAGCGCATGGTCATCGAGACGCACCTCTGTGGATGATGAAAATGCGCTGCATCGCACTGCAGCCGAACAAGTGGCGCACGAATACCGCAAGGCAGCGAGACGCAAAGCTGAGAAAGAGTGCGCAGACAAACAAAGCTTTGGCGTGCGTGAGTTTAATCTGACTAAAAAGACGCTGAAAGAGTTATACGGCAGCTATTACAAAAAGGAACCGAGTTATGTGTTGAAGGATGGCAAATTACTGCTTGAAACGGAAGAAATTTCGGTCAGTTCCGCGGATTGTAATTCACGCGAATCAAGTGGCGACATACCTGCAACATTGATACAACCACTGCATAGCAAAAAGCAGGCAGTGATGGTGGCAGAAGTGGATGTAGAGCGGGAAAAGAAAAAGGAGCGCGACCTTATGGCAGCAGCGGCGGAAGAATCTTTGGCGGCGTTAGACGAATGCATGAAAATGCAGCATTGTGAGGACAGCAGCGAGAGCAGCGATGATGACGCTGATGTGGCTGATGAATACGAGTTGTTTGGCAGTTTTGTAGTACCCGAAGGACCGCTGGCCACGAAATTAAATGATCTAAATCTATTTAATGATGCAGAAGTTGTGCTAAAAAATGTCGATGACGAGCAGAAAGTGGATTGTGGAAAGAGTTAAGTAAAATCACTGATGACGCTTCATGAAAGACGGAAGTTTATTTTACTTTGTTGCGCACATCCATTTTCGAAAATGGCAGTTACGTACATACACAATGTCTGTTATATATTTATGAATACATTTCAGCTTAAACACTAAAAGTGCGCTTATATTTACTTGATTAGTGCGTTTGGCTTTGGTGCACTGTATTTAAAGAAAAAAATAAAGAACTTATTATACATAATTTAAAACAGCTACAACAATAAATTCATTTAGATACATAGCTTCGTTTTGGTTGGAGTGGGTTTTTGAAAATCACAAATGTTACAAGTCGCTTGTCGTTTTATGAAATGGAAGCAGGTGGAATGTCGCACCATATTTGGTATAATATTTGCGATAAAATACACGTTTTTTAGTTGTAAAAAACAGTGCTATATTTCAACTAATGTTACAGTTCAGTTTTTGTGCTCGCATTTTCGCTGTATTCTTCAACCGCTGCATCCTCGCCTGAAAAACCAAAACATTTGGAAAATAGCAAAAATAAAAATTGTATCGAAAATCAAAAACAAATAAGAACAAAAAAGCGTTCCGTTTCTGCGTTAACCTATGTCGCAGAATAGTAATTTTGAAGATATCAGGGCAAAAGTATTTAATTTCTTTTACTGAAACACAACAAAGAAGTACCGTAATTTATGCTTTTGACTTTACTATTACTAAAGAGAACCAAATTTAGATTACAATTTTAGTTTTAAACAGAATAACGTTTAAACTCTTATTATTAAAAAAATTTTTATTTATTTTTCAATAATTTAGTTACGTGGTTAGCGCAGAAACGGGCTTATATTACAAAATGTTATGCATTAGAGCCTCTAAATAAAGCTGCAAATAAATAACTACTATCGTGCTCTAAGTATTTGCTATTTGTTATACATATAAAGTAGTTATGCATCGTTTGTATGTGTAGACATCATTGCAAAAGGCCTTAAGGGCCAGTTTTCCAATGCCAGTTTAAACTTAGATTAATTAAACTGAGTTTAAATTGAACAGCTGGCTGAATTTGATTGGCTGATCTTAGTTTAAACCAGCCAGATCAGGCGTTTCAACTTAGTTTAAACCACGGCCGTGCACTGAAAAACTGGCCCTAAGTGACACATTCGATTTTTTATAGGGAAGAAAAAGGCTCTTTTATCTTGTATTTGAATGTTTGAAAGAGCATTTAAATCTATTTTTCAATAGCTTTTTAAACTTTACTTTGGGTATTTATGTATATACATGTACATATGTACGTATGCAGATATGTACATACATACTAGGGATGTTTCGAATGTCATATTTTTCATATTCGCAAATGCGAATGTTCGAACGCGAATGCGAATGTTAGATATAACATTAAAAAAGCTATAATCGACTTAAGTCATCGTTTTTATTACTTAAAAATTTTTTTAATTATTAGGACATTGAACGAGTGCTGTTTTATGGGTCAATTATGTATGGCAACGCAACCGCAGTTGGATTCCCGATGGGCAACGCCACTGAAAGGAAAATGTATATTATGAATAGCAACTATAGTTAAGTTCTATAAAGTTGAAGCAGCTAAGACTCGAGTGTAAATAAGCTGAAGAAACAGTTGAAAAAATAAATAAATTATCTCAATCAAAATTTCCGCGGCAACCACAAAAATGCAGTTGCTAATAAAGCAACTCAGTTGTCAGCTTTCAGTTGCCAGTTGCCATCTGTAATACCATTTCAGCCACTGGCCACCCAACTGAAGTTCGGTTGCAATCCGTAATCGATCAATTAATCTAGTAGTCAAAGTTCAAAAGGGGAATATTAATATTATGTTTCAAAAAAAGTAATTTTGCTGCCTTTTCTCCCACGAGGCGATTTCTTAGAGGCTCGTATATAAGGCCGGCTGCACTGAACAATTGCTCACTTGGAACGCTGGCGGTTGGAACGCACAAATATTTGCGGGCCAGCTCTGTCAATTTGTCGTATTTTAGTTTAGTTTTCCACCAATCGAATGGATTTTCACCGAGATGGGCTCGTTTTTCTTCGCTTTCGCTGGATGAATCTAAAATTATTTCTAGGTTGCGTATAAGACTTTTAGCAGTATTTGTTGAAGGCCCATCAAAGTTGCTTGATATATATACTACTTAACCGTTAGACAGACTTAGAGCAATTTCAACAATATTAGAGTTGACTCTCTGTCCATGTACACATTCGCATTCGCAAAACATTCGTATGATTTTATTCGAATGCGAATGTCGAATGCGAATGTCGAATACGAATATGTAAAATTATGCGAATCATTCGCATAACGAATGCGAATGCAAATATTCGCAACATCCCTGATACATACATACGCCCCAGCGCGGTAACGGTACACTAAAATTTTTCCTTTAACATCACCTAAGGACTTTTGTTATGATGTTAGTTTACAGTTCCAAAACATTTTTTTTTCTTTTTCTCTCTACGCGTTTACCACTTTTATTCACAGAATAAATTGGAATTTTCCTAGTTAATATATTCATGCACTTTTCACTTATATTACATGTTTAGTTATATTGCATTCGTTTTACTTTTTTATTCATTTGAATTATTAAAGTGATTTCATAATTAAATCTTCTAATTGCTTTGTATCAAATTGTGGTTTAGCTGCTCCTGACGATGCTGACGAATTTAGCCAATATTCGGATGCTGCTATATAAATGGCTACTGCTGCGCCCACAATGTAAGCGATGTGTGTTGAACTTTGGAAAATCACACAAGTGGCAATGCAAAGGCCAAAGTAGGTAAGCAAACGTGTTATGTTTACGAACTGGTCGCGTTGCTCTGAAGATTCGTCTATGGTTTTGAAGTTTTTTAAGACGAGATATTTAAAATATTGATTTTATAACGCAGTGAGCCAGTGAGTATGTACATACACAGAAAAAGAAATACAAAAGAATACACAAAGGCATCAGTGGTAAAATAAAGTAGTATGAATTTCTGTTATAGTTAATGAATTACTTAAAATGCCGAATTCAATACTTGTGTATATAGAGGAAATTTCAAAGTAGTACCCTTTTCTTTACACATTGGAATTATTTTTTATCTCACCTTGGCATTTTCCATCTTTTAATGCAAAACCCGCTGCACACTTTCTACACATATCGGGTCCATCACCATCGCAACCCTCACAAGAACGATCACATTCTAAGCACGTATATGATCCCTCGTCGTTAACGCAAAATTGATTTGGACGGCAAGGGCGGTTTTGAAGTAAACATTCATTTATATCCTGGCACCCTACTGGATCATTTCCCATAATCCAGCCATCTTTGCAGTTACGACAAGCTGGAGGATGAACGAAGGAAGGAAAAAGGCATATTTTTAATCACTGCATGAAAGCAAACCATCAGTTTACTTTATTTCAGTTACAGCAATGAACATAACCTTCACTCAGTTGTTGTAACAGCATAAAAATTATTCAAATAATTTTGGGGAATATTGCTGGAGCGACAACCCTTGGACAGATAAACATTAATAGGCGTCGTTCCGGATACGTTGAACCGGATTTCTTGAAAACTGCTATGCTGTCACAACAACCACAAACCTCACTTAAATGTAGGAAGCTTTGGTAATGTTCAGGATGCATTAAACAAATGCAAAAATACTTGGACTAACCTTTTGGTCCAGCGCCAGTGCATCCCTTGTCATCGCAAGATTTGTGACATGGAGAACAAAGCATCTTTTTTCCATCATTGTAGGCTTCATAGTGGTTATCAGCACACTTTTTACAATTCTCACCTGTAAATCCAGCATCACAGGCGCATTTTCCATTACCTTTACGAGTGCCAGAACCCTTACATTTTCCTATGATGAAGAAAAATACGTAAAATCAAATTAGGAATAGTGCGGGAACAGGGTATATATATTTGTGGTCGGTTTTAAGTCAAATAAAACTTTTAAACGCTATCGGCTTTACATTTTGAGTATTAAAAAATAGGACAACCTTAAATCCAACTTACCATTGCCATTGCAATCTGTGCATAGCTTACATTCGGGTCCAAAGTGACCACCAGGGCAACACAGTTGCAGCTTGTCAATACATAACCAAGCATGTAGGTCAGGTGAATCGCTTTGTTTGTGCAAGAACCAGTCTTCTAGTAGGTGCTCGTGATCGTTGGCCATGGTATGACACTGATCTTGCCCACGTTTAACATCACTACACAACTGCTCTTGAACCTCGACCAAACGCACTTCACTGGTTTTATAAGAACGTAGTTTTTCCTCTTCCCAAGCCGCATCACCACCGGCATGCTTGCCGCGACTTGTTTTTTCCAAACCCTGTAAGCAAGGTTTTTATTAATACGACACAAATCTGTTATTACTGGCACGCACTTACCAACTTAAATGATTCCACAAGCACAGTGCATGATTTACAAGGCGGCAACTTAGTTGATTTTTCCTTTTGGTCCTTTGGGGATTTCTCAAAAGCTTCGACAGCTTCACAGTTCTCAAAGAGCAGCACAAGCACACATACAATTGATAGCACCGCTTTAAAACACGACATGCTTAGGTGAAAACGTGGAAATACCACAAATTACACTAATTTTCGTTGATAAAATGTTCTCCTTATCGGAGAGTTTACGTGGAATAAACTTATCACTGATGGATTGTCCAGAAATCCAATAAACAAATTTTCCAGACGTATCGGCTTTTGTGCCAGCTGTTCCATCTGACGTGTACAACTCAGGTGTAGCACAGGGTTGCAGAGAAAATTAGGTTTTGTCAGCTGCAAGTGCATTTAGGCGTGGACGCGCAAGTAATTTCCAAAAGTAATTGCAGAAGTCTTTACACCTGCATGTAAAATGACTTCTTAAAGTAGTTAGGGTGTGTGTGACGCGGTAACAAAGTTCTGCGAAGAAAGCTGGTGAATAGTTAGGGGATTCTCTCAAACTCGGCAATAATCGGGATCCGCATTAAAATTTTGTACGCAAATTCAACAACAACGATATGATCCTGATAGAGATTTGGTTCAATTATTAGTGGTATTCATCTAAACCGATAACTTTATCAAGCAGATAATCTTAGGTTGGTTTTATGCAGAAATTTTGTTTGGCAAACTGCGTGCAATTGTTGTTGCAGCAAACTCGGAGAGAGCGAGTTTGGCGACTCTCACAGCAAACTAATTTTGTTTGGTCAAACTGCAGCAAATTCGGTGTTGTCATATACAAAAATTTTAAATTATGCGCGTTATGTACATCTGAAATTCCCATTTCGTGTTGGCAATAGCCATGAAAACCATAATGAACGTGCATCCCTGTGCCAAACTCGACATAACCACCTCCCAGCAAACTAAGCAGCCGCCATTTAATTTGGCAAACAAAAGTTTGTTACATGAACGACCCACACTCTCTTTTCGTTTACACTTGCGACAATAGTCGTGTTTTCTTTGGTTATCGAGCTCAGTAACACTAACTTTATACTACTAGCACGAGGATGAAGAAATTACAGAGATTAACTCACTAAATGGGAAAAAATTATATTTACGAGATAATATCTGTTTCCCACTTTTTGCGTATTCTTTAATTTCCGTTAATTTAAATTCAGTTGAGTTTGACACTTTTCAGGATTTTGCCAGAAAAAAATTCTTCTGACTAAATCTGACAACTTCGAACTGAAGAGAGTCACTCTCACTGAGTGTTGCTCTCTCATTTATGGTGTAATTTCCGAGTTAAGGAACGCTTTTTGGACTAAATATTACTACTTCGGACTTTTTCTGACTATTTCTGGGAGATAAGGAACGCTCCTATTATCCGTTCTGTTTGTTTTGTTTCACTGATAATTTGGCCGCACAGTTTGGTAGCAGTGACAAATGAATTCATACACAAACAGAAATTCTGTCATTGTTTTTTTTTTTAATTGCTTCAAATAAATCGCCTTTATGTTATATGTGCATTTATTTAAATAGATATTAGCCGTCATCGATTCGCCAACAGTTAGTGAGTGGCGAAACGAACGTTCAACTGGCATAAATATATTAGATTGGAAGTACTGGAAAAGAGCTGTCACAAATGGTATATGTTGGGAAGCACTTAATGAATTGCTTGGAAGCACTGAATTATTTGACAGTTTATAAAGTTAAAAAAAAAATATTTTATGTGTATACATACAAGGAGAATATTTTGCAATTAGTTACAGAAAATTGAGCAGAATTTATAATAAAAACGCAAAAATGGACAACGAGCGACTAGATTTGGTAAGAAAGTGCTCTTTTTTGTAATTATCATGTATTTAGTCAAAAATAACATTTCAGATATCCCAATTCCTACAATATGAGGAAGAGCTCATAACCTGGAATGCTGGTGTATTGGCGATGCTAAACAGCTTACCTTCGAGCTCCAGCTCGGAATCTTCCTCAAGCTCTGATGAATCGGAACGGGAAGAGAGGAGCGAATGTGAGAACTTTTGTGAAGTCATTGAAGGTTACAACGAAAGTGAATTCAAAGCCCGCATGAGACTACGGCATTCAACTGCATAGGTTTTAATCGGTACATTGTGGACATATTTAAGTTTTGTTGTTCATGAAATAACCATTACTGTTTTTTTTAGAGAAATATGAGAGCAGTGCCGAGCCTAGAATGAACTATAGTATATGAACTAAATGTCCTATCGACTAAGACCAAAACTTTTAAAGTCCATACATGCGCACGCAAATTTATTTCGGTTATTAACCCTGATATACAGTTCAATGCGAGCGTGAGCGTGAGTTTTTTATTTTGACCAATATCTTCGTTAGTACTCAACTTTTTGCTATAGTTGAGACATGAATTAAAATATCTTTCCGAATTATAGAATAAAAACTAATTTAAAATGCATAATATGCCTTTTTTTTAGGTCACACTCAACTGTGTGCGTACGCAAAGCATTCGCATATGAACGGCAAGTTTTGACAGATGTGGCATATTATGCATTTTTAACATAAACATATAAGACATATTCTGCCTCAAATCATAAACCGCACATCCAACTTTGGCACCAACTACTGATGCATCTGTAGCCATTACATAAAACCCTTCTTGCTTTACTCTCGCCAGTTTTTCTCTATACCTTATTCTCAACATTTCCAAGTTAACGTCATTTTTCGATACCCCAAGCCCGACAATTCTAGCTTTAGACAAGAAAACCTTTCAAACTGAACAGTAACATTTATTCTGTCAAAAATATGCTTAAACATATTATATACGTAACGGTAACTTGATTTACCAGCCTGAGACCCGCCTAATAATGTTCTATGTTCTGTATTTTCCAACCATGTTTGGCCAGTTCTTTTGCAGCCAACCATGCCGCTCTACTAAATGGGGCAACTTTCCTGACAGCGCATATCTCGTGTGAATTGCTGTGCTAGGTGGGACTCTTAAGCATCTTCTAAAAGTTTCATTAGTAATAACTTGCAACCTCCTATTCATTCCCTTTGGTGTATTTGCCAAAGTCGTTAAGCCATACTCAACTTTTGACCTGACAAAGGATTTGTAAAAATTAGGGCCACTCTTGGAGAAATACCCTCTTTTATGCTGGTAAGCTTTTTAATCAAAATAATCCCAGATCTAGCTTCGTTCCTACATAATTTAACATGCTCACCTACCGTACCATTCGCACTTATCGTCCTACCCAACCACTTCAAACTGTTCAGCTGCTCGACAATTTTACCACCTACTGTGAGATTGAAAGATTTGCCTCTATTGGACGTAACACACATGAATTTAGATTTTCTTTCATTTATCTCGAGACCCAACTCGCCACAATTATTCTGAAAATCTGTTAAAACATTAGAGATAAAGATTAGCTCCTCAATAATGGTTTCCTCATCCTTTCCAAAGCTCAATATCACAAAGTCATCCGAAAATTGAATACACGTGTGTTATCATTTCCAATATTATGAAGTTTTCTTGTATACAAGTGAAACAGGAATTTCGACAGACAACTGACCTGAGGCAAACCATTGTTGACTTCAACCCTTTCATCGTCCATTATTAGCCATATTTCGAGAAAAAAAACTATGCATCCAATTATATATTTTTGGATTAATTCCAGTTTCCAACATGATAACTCTCATTTTACCAATGTTCACACAACTGTAGGCGTCTGCTATATCCAAGACTCAGAGAAAGGCTTTCTTCTTCCTATATTTCAAACTAGCAATTAAATGAATAACTTCATTTAAGCATCTAGATGCCGATCTCCCCTTTCTGTACGCAAATAAACTTTTCGGCAGAATTTCATTAGTTTCCGTCCACTCACTTAGCTCCTCTTTTACCATCATATTCAAACATTTGGCAATAACCAATATAAGCGATATAGGTCTAAAATTTTTGAAATCATCTAACGATTGGTTGGCCTTTGGTAATGGGACTACCTAAATCTCCCTCCATTCATCTCTCACTATAGTACTATTAAAACTTCTTTCCAAATCTTTCAAAAGAGAATTCTTGGTCTCCCTGGGTAACATTTTTATCATATCGAATGTGATCCTATCACCTAGCACCACCATTCGTTAAATTAACATTCAATGTTCCTTTAGGAACCAATATTCCTTGCATCGGAATGCAAAGCGTGCCCACGCCATCAACAGACGCCGTAGCGTCCGCCATCTTAAACAGCTGCTACCGTACCCTAACCTATAAAATTTTCCACTGTCAGAGACTTACCTCCAAAACTTCAAACCACCAATCTCCTTCCTGCAAGTGCAGATTTTACTCTTCCACCTCCAGAATATATGTATACACTCCGTACACTTATTGAATTTAATCACTGACTTTACTTAAATACGGTATAAATTAATTTTTCCTTTTTTTTAACCATGGTTTGCTTCTACCGCTGCTAAACCATACAGCCACTTCTCCAATCAAACACCAACCAAATACTCCAGCTACGCTCGTACCACTTGAATATGCTCAAGAATTGAAAGCAATCGAAATTGGCCAATTGAATTTATAAGCAAACGCTTAATATTTTAATTCGCAAAAGATCTCCGCACTGTTTGTAAGCCCAACGTCCGCTCGATTCAAGAGTTCAAGACGAAGGCGCTGCACTGATTCTTTTTAACATAGTTAAGAGTATGTGTGGCTCTCCGCGCTGTTTGAGATCGACTGTTCCCATGCAAAAACTTCATATAAATCTTTTAAATAGTCCTGCGATAAATCCCCTAAGAAAGGTTCCCCACCATCGGAATCATAACTAGGAGAATACTCCAATTCGCAAGCCAAAGGCTGTTTGGGATAAGGTATCGTGATTTTAATTGGGTTAAAAATCTTTGGGGCGCCGAATAAAGTTCTTGCTGGAGGCGATGTAGCTGATTCGGGTGAGTCAAAATGATGTATTCTATGACGCGTCCCAGCAGTCACAAGACGATATCGCTTCGTTTTAACGTGGCGAGCAATTAGAGGAAGACACTGCAGACGTTCGTCTTTGCTCACTAGATGGTAAAGAAAATTTTAAATTAAAAACAAGCAAGAAAGTCTAAGTTCGGGCGGAGCCGAACATTAAATACCCGGCGCAATTATTAAATATATGTTTTCCACCTTTCCGAAAGCTACCGCTACACGATAAGCCGGGGTGTATAAATTTTAAGTAAATTAGCGTCCTTAAATTTCGAAATATTGCAGTTTCAAGCATTTCTGAAATATACCGTTATATGAAAAGCGGTCGTAATTTTAGTCCGATTTCAATAATTCTCAACGCTTTGCTTTTATGTGGCAAGCACAATAACCATACCGAGTTTGGTTCAAATTGCTAGAACGGTTAGCGAGATACATATACATATGTGATCATAAGTGGGCGGTGCCACGCCCATTTTCCAAAATTGTATCATAAGCGTATTTCTTGGTAAAAAATTGTTGCAACCATCAATTTTGAATAAAGTAGCTTTAATATTTACTGATTTATCGAGGATTTCGTATTTTTCTAAATTACCGTTATATGGGATGTGGGCGTAGTTATTGTCCGATTTTAAAAATTTTCGGCCATTACCAAATGTTGTAGCAGGACCAACAACTGTGCCAAGTTTGGAAGAAATTAGTGCAGCGGTTACCAAGATATACACATGTAACCATAAGTAGGCGTGGCTACGCCCATTTGCCAAAATTTTTTAATATTCTTATTTTTCGTCTAAAACTCATTGTAAATATCAATTTTTAGTGAATTATCTTCAGTAGTTACTAAAATATCGCACTTTTCGTATTTCTGAAAATTACCGTTATATGGGAGGTAGGCGTGGTTATTGTCCGATTTCGCCCATTTTCAATACAATCCCTCCTATGCCCAAAAGAAGTCCATGTACCAAGTTTCGTTAAGATATCTCAATTTTTACTCGAGTTATCGTGTGCACAGGCGGACGGACGGACGGACGGACGGACGGACGGACGGACGGACAGACAGTCACCGCTTAATCGATTTCTCTTTTCATTCTGATCATTTATGTATACATTTGTCTATATCTATATCGATTCGTTTTGCCTGTTACAAACAACCGTTATGTGAACAAAGTTATAATACCCTTGTGCACAAGTGCGCTCGGGTATAACTATACATACATATATGTATGTATGTACATTAGGGTGCATCACGCACGATCGCTTATCGGAATTATAAAATGTATAATATTATAAGTTTTCCGCCGAAATATTTCGGTAAAATATTAAGATTTAAGTGAGCTAAACACATTTGAAAAATCGAGTTTTTTAATAAATAAAATAGTTTTTCTAAATCTTTTCTCAAAAAATCAACTCACATGATAGAAGATCTAAAATTTACCCAGAGTTACAGCGGACGACGGTAAAGCGGTCGGCGGTAAGTGAACAGCTGTATAGTTGCCGGAGGGAAATCCGTCAGGGTAAACGCAATTTTTGGTGATGCACCCTAATGTGCATGAAAATGTTATTACATGCCTAAATATGCGCCCATATTATACTTACAAAACAATTGGCATACTTACAAAACATGTGAATAACTTTGAGTGCCAGTGCTGGGCTTAAGTACATATTTTCATGTGCCACCAATATATCATCACACACACATTTCATGTAGGACCGCATCTCATTGAGTTGTTCTTCATTTAATTCGTTAAATAAATTTAATTTTTTATTCCAATAGAATCCCAAGTAGCCTGCGTCTAAGCAGCATTTCAACAGTGAAAACATCTATGAGATAAATTTAAAATTTAAATGCACTTTTCGACACGACACACCTATGCATGTTCGTGCTATAACAGTAATACTCACATCTTTAATAGAATCACAGAGTCTACGCGCCCAGTATTCGTTATCCACCTGAGAATTTCTCCATAAAAACAGTGTTTTAATGTAGTAGCTTTTCAAATTTTTCATATTCGGATGGCTATCGCGAAACTTCTTCAATATCCTTAATGCATTTTTCAAATTGTTCTTATTTTTAATCAGTTCCCTTTCCAGTGAATAGTACGAAGCACGAAATGATTTGGTATTCTGCACAGGCTTTGGTATGCCATGCCATTCGGGAGGGCTATTCTCCATTATGACATGTTGCGCACCCAATACTATGCCCGGTACAAAATCTACCGAAAATTTGCATGGTTCACTAACGGTAATTGTGTGCGCGGGGCCACAACGTTGATACACAAATTTCAAGTTGGACGGTATACCTTCCACGCTATTTTTCATAGCCAATAGCGCTTTGCTGAAACAGCTTTTCAGCCAAGCATGTAATTTTTCTATATCCAAATATTCGCAATCGTTATCCTTTACCGTCCAAGTTCGAAGTTTTTCATGGAGTAGAGAATTTTGCTTTTGCGATTTTATAGTTTTCAATACATTCCTTACGTCAATGAAAAAATTGCCCGGCAAATCGGGATCCCCCGTGACTAGTATTTCATCTTTGGCGGGGAAATTTAGAAAAAATACCAAGTCATACTCATCAGCGCGGTTGACCTTGACATTGTCCCCATAACTGCCTGTAGTCAAATATTGAAATAAAAGAATTAATTTGTGGAAAAGTTATTCAGCCTGTTCTCGGACTACAGGATTAAGTCAGAAATAGTCCGGAAGATAATACTGAAGATATTGTAAATGTGTGTACGGCAATGACTTCGGGCTATTGCTGACTGCATCCTGGAGAACGAGAGCATGCCAATTCTTGAAGATTATTAGTTCTTAACTTAAAAAATAGGAATCATAATTTTCTATAGTTAACGCTAATCTGTAAACTAACAAAAAGTTATAAAATATGCACTAAGTATATAAGTAGGAATTAAAATATAGGGACCTAAAGTTTAGGGTGGCCTCCGAACGGTAGCTGATTTTTTGTTGATTTGAGGTCAGTTGCCCAATGAAGACCAATAAGTCTGAAAGCGATGTTCCCTGGAGAAAAAATAACCTTGGCATGCTGTGACAAAAGTCTTCGAAACTCTTCAGTAGGGCTAAATTAATTGATCACACTGTAGGGACGCTAAAATTACACAAAAAACGCCGAGACACGTAAACTTAATTTTGGGTCGTAGATTAAGGATCTGCTTGCCGATTTTCTACATCAGCAGCCGAAAAATCTCCAAAAGATTAACAGGTGCGCCTTACAACACGGAACATTAGTTACATGCCTCTATTACTGCCAGATTTGGCTGATTACGGATTGCATCTGTTATTTTTCCATGTTGTATACTTTTAGGCCCCATTGCTTTTCAGTTAGAGAATTTGGGCGACATCAATTTAGCGTAGCTATTGTCAGAATTCCACTGCAGGTCATTTTCCAAAGATATTTTCATTTTAAGTTTGCATTGCGAATGAAAAAAAATTAAACTTTAACATGGAAAATGTTACTCATACGCCATGTACGAGTATGTACAAGTCCGCCATGGCCGATACTGTGTATGAGTAATGTGACTAACCGTACTTCTTTCTGAAGTACCGTACTTCTTGTTTCGCTCTTGTACTTCGTACTTCGAAGTACAGTCAAATATACTTCTTTGCGATATTTTGTTTTTCAGGCGCGAGATTCTGTAACCAGTTAGCGACAATTTTTTGCGTAAAAAAGTGCGATAGCGATTCGAAAATTGAAGGTTCTGTAACCAGTTAGCGACAATTTTTTGCGTAAAAAAGTGCGATAGCGATTCGAAAATTGTCGCTAACTGGTAACAGAATCTCCCCCCAGGTCCTGTACTTCTCCGATCTTCGTCACATGGCCTGGGCGATAAATTCGTTCAAACAATTTAAGTCGCCGAGGACCGATGGCATCATACCTCCGTAGCTGCAAACGGCTCTGAAGGTGTCGTGAAATTGGTTGGATCCTATTTATGCGAACTTCGTGACGACCGGGTACATCCAAGGCTTGGAGGGTAGTCAGCGTTCCGTTCATCCCGAAGGCCGGAAAATGATCTCATGTTTCCCCTAAGGATTTTAGGCCTATCATTTTCTTCGTTTTTGCTAAAAACGCTAGACAGACTCATAGACCTGTACATAAGGAACGCGATTCCTAGTGACTGTCAATATGATTATTGCAAGAAAAGGTTGGTGAATACCGCCCTGCACACATTAGTAAAGCGGTCAGAGGAAGCCTTCACGCATGAAGATTATGTAGTAGGGGCCTTCTTCGATATCGAGGGGGCCTTCAACAATGTCACTCCAGAAACAATAGTCAAGTATATTCATAATATGGAGGTGGAAACCAACCTAATAAGGCTTATCTACAGCTTACTTCGTGACAGAACTGTCGCGGCGGAGTGGGGGAGCGTCTGCACATAGTGCAGAGTCAATCGGAGCACTTCGCAAGGTTGTGTTCTTTCTCCCCTGCTCTGGATTGCGGTTGTAAACGACCTTTTAGAGGAACTGGAAAAAGTGGGCTGCCGGGTGATCGCCTATGTAGATGATGTGGAACTTTTGGTTAAGGGACGATTTCTATACACCCTTTTCGATCTGGCTCAAGGTTACCTGAACCAGGTAACTAGGTGGGCGATCAACGGCGGCTGTCGTGGAAGCCTAACATTGAGGAAAGGTGTCGGCTACCTTGTACTGCTGTAGGGAAGCTATCGGTAAAATTAAAATTAATTCATTAGCTCTAGGAAACCACCTTTAGCCTATATTGTTTCAAAGAGCCCTTGTCTGGTGGAACTCACTAGAGATGGCTAAACTTGGTAAACAGGAATTAGCGGAGCATTAAGGACCACTTCTACACTGGCGCTTAACATACATATGTTGAACACGGCGCCTGCGGATATTGCAGACAGAATTGTCGCAGCACGAACTGCTATTAGGCTAAGGGAAACCGGGTCCTTTTGTGGCATAAAAAAGGAAAAGAAGTCGTTTCTCTGCTGTAGTAAATGTTTTTATTGGACACTTTAAACACGTTACCTCTCAAGGGCTAATAATGGGGGTTCTGACAGGCCACTGTGCGATTGGTATTCATGCGGTGAGACTAGGAATTTCGACTGATCCTTTTGTATCAGCTGCCAAGAGGAAGATGAAGTGGAATCATCTCCACACTTTCTTTTAGACTGTCTAACCTTCGCGCGTCTAAGATGGAAGCATTTTGGCTCGCACTTCTAAACAAACACTGAGCTCTCAGGGATCGAAATTTCGTAAACGGCTCGCGGCGTTAACTTAAGCCAGCCTAAGCTGTACTTCTTTGAGCTATGAAATAGTTGGTCACATTATATATGAGGAACATTATTTCTTGCTTCTATTTCATAAAAAAAATTATTGCACATTTCCATTTGACCATTCAAAACATGATTATTTATGCATCGATGTTAATCGTAATACATTGATGTTTTGGCAAAAGAACAGGCTTTACTACAAATTGAAAAAAATTACAAAACATTTGTTATTCTTTTAATTTTTTCATTGTTAAAGCCTGAATTTTTTTCATAAAAATTTAAGTATCTTGGGAAAATTACCTGATTCTTCTGATATTTCTGTTTATAGCCCGAAATGTTGCCTTTAAGACTAGACGAATTTAAAATTTGCCATAACTTGGGAAAACAAATTTATTTTTCCTTCGGCATATCGTCCGTGCGAGACTGCTGCGACATAATATCGCATGCGTATCGGCCGTGGACACGGTTTGCCATCACACCGCATATGGTATCGCGTGTCGTACCGCTGTAATGTGCACTGCGCGCATGTCAATGTCGCTTTCTTATCGTATCACGTATCGTATCGCATATCGTATCGGTCTAATGTGCGCCGTGCCTAAGAAGACTCGAAATTTGACGATTTTCCAATTTGCGTATCACTCTAAATCAGTGCTCGGCTAAACTAAAAGTGCAGCTGATTGAGTTCCAGTGTAATTCAACATGGAATAAAAAACTTGTCGTGACAAGGAAAGAGTGGGAATCAATCGATTTATGTACAAAGACCATCAGCCAATTTGACCAAAAATGCTAATACTAGAATATTATAAACTTCGAACTCAATTCCAGACATATTCACCCTCATTGCGTACATACGTCGTAAATTAGACTAAAATGCACGACTCGACAACATTGGCATTGCCTATTGTCGTGCTGAAATAAGTAGACGACGAAAACTGTCGAAAACTATCCAGTGCAGCCACGTTTTCCCATTTTAAAACACAATTCGAATCGAATTTTTAGGCAATGCCATGTACTTTTCGATACGAATCGGCTCTCGAAAAACGATTTGCATTCCACTTGACATTTGCATTGTCGCTGATTAGCTGTCTGCGGAAGCTGCCGTTGGCTATCTTGAGTTCACTTAATACGTAAGGTGCATAGATACTTTTGAGAGTAGCTTAATTCGTTCTTAAAAAAAAATTTTTCCATTTATGTATCAATTAATGTCCCCAAGAAACCCTGATGACATGCTTTCTTATTGGCACGTCATGGAAACGTTGAATATTTCTTTGCAAATAAAGGCACGTAGGTATATGTGTAAAGGTTCGCCGGCCCTGCACTAGACAAATGATTAAACTGGAGATCACAACAATTACCAATAAAGCAGCACGGCATTCTAGGCTTACCAAAGACTTCATGAAAATATCCAAGAAATTTACGTATTGGTCATTCGATACGGGGTAAAACTGATTGTTATATATTCAGCAAAGCCAATAAAAGTAAATAAATGAAAAACCTAATGTAATACGCAGAAATTTCGTACACTGAGCGAAGAGGGTGAGGGCAAACGACATACTTAGTTGGTTTGTAGAGGCGGGTGTATACATCTTGCGTGGTACCAAAACAGGCCTAAGTGGGCTGGCAGTAACTTCAAAATAACCTAAGTAATTCAGTAGACCATCTGAACGACGCATTAATCTTAGCCGAGAAGGTCTAAGAACTATGTATAGCTGGATACCGGACAGGGCACGGCAAATTAAGGAAATATTTTTTATAACCCTTTTGGGATTTCATTCTCTTTGCTTTTTTCATCAAAATGTTCATGTTTTTTTAGCTCTGACTAAACGAGATTCTACATTTCTTATAATCGTATATTTTATCTTCGCGTATATACATATGTATGTGTACCTCAAACATATGTAATAATCAGGCATAAAAATTTTACTCATTACACTGCGATAAATCAGATTTTATACTTGCATATACATACATACATTCACTGTTTCGGGGAATCCGAATGCAACAACTACATAGTTAAAGCACGCCAGCAACAACAGATTAGTAACAGTAAAATATGTATGTAAATACGTACATTCTTATGTATGTATAATGTATGTTTATAAAACTGCTTTCAACTCACATGCACTAGCACGTGGTTAACATAAACCTCTCTACATATGTATGCGTAGCAATATTCAAAAAAAAAATAATAATCAATTCATTCACAAAGTCATTAAATAAATAATAGGTTCATACCTTGCAGTTCATGTCCATTGAACAGCTTTTTAAAAACTGCATCTTGCGCTTTTAGATTTTCGAAAAGTTTGTCACGCAATACCTGATAATGTGACATAAACATTTGTCTCTCAGTCTTTATATTTATAAAATGATTTATAACTTTCAAAATATCTTCAAAATTTATCGACATCTCGAAAATCAAAACAGGCAATCACAACAATAATATCACAAGCGAGTATCCAAAGAAACACCACCACAAATCAAGCCGCAAACGTGACCGTTCCAAATCACTGCTAGCTGCTACTAAACTGTGCGATACAAAAGTTACTTGGCGCCTTATACGTACGAGGGCGAACTGATAAGTGCATTCGCTAAAAATAACAAAATTTATTTTATATTTTATCATAAACTACTAAACGAAAAGTTTTGAGTACTCTCAAAATTTAAATATAATTGGCTATAAAATCGTATATATCAGGGATGGTATTTCAAAATTTCAAAATGTGCCTAATGGTCTTCTAAAATAGTGCCGAAAAGAAGATGAAAGTGCCACAAAAATTAAACTTCTTTTAAGGCGTTTTAAGAACAATATATTTTTAGAAATGATATTTTTAAAATACACTGAAGTAATATAATAATTATTAGTTAATAAATTATTACAGTAAATCACTTTTATGAAGGTTTCCTTAGAGATATACATACGGTGACCATATTAACCAACGCAAAATAAAGCACATTTTTTCCAAAATGATTTGAGAAAATGTGCATACAACTTGTATGATAAAGGTACCTTACGAATATCGTAATTTAAATAAAATATTGTAGCGAAAAATGAAGCCAAATCCTTTTCAAGGACTTCGCCATCTTTTGCTACCAAAATGCGTTTACCATAATTCATACCGAACGACGAAGCCAGCACACAGTGGTTCAAAATTGGAATTTAATATTCATGTTTCACCGGAGCCTTAATTTTTCAACCAATTTTTACTAAAAACCAAAACAAAAGTAGTTATGGTGAAAATTTGTTTAAAAATTTAATTTTATTTTTTTGTGTAATTTTTTTTTTGTTTTGGGAGAACCATACAGTTGTTTTCAACTAGTTTTTGTTATGTAACATTTATTAACTGGAACAGGAGAATACATTTTCTCAAAATTGCTACTTTTTCTGCATTTTGCACTAAAAAATACAAATTCTGAAATCAAGCTCAACTGGTCTCTTGCAAATATTGTAAGCTTTCATAAAAAAATAAATAAAACTTAATCCAATTAAGTGAAAAATGAAGGCTCCAGTGAACTACGAACATAAATTCCAGTTTTGAACCACTGTGCAGCAGGGGATTTATTATTCTCTTTCAGTGGAACTAGAAACTCAGCGTGCAACACGATCCTGGGCACAAATTTCCCTGTGCTTTATAGATTGTATAAAGATTACCGATTAGAAATCCTTATGTGGGGTGCGAAACAAACTGGCGAAGGTTTTCATTATATTTTATAAGGGATATTTTTATTTTTCATATTTTGCATTTAAAAATCTACCTCTGAAAAATGCAGAGCCGGTTTAAAGGACAGTTTAGAAATCATTCCCACGACAGCCGGTTCTACGTACCGGAATAACTCGGGTTTTACCCGACCAAGGGCTGTTGTTTCGGCGATTTAACCCCGTTTAGGTCGGCGAAATCCATCAAACGTTGCTCGATCCTAGGGCTACACCTTCTCCGCACCCTTCTGCTCAGGGCTGGCATAGAGTCAAACCCAGGGCCAGAAATCTACACCTGCTGCGTATGCCAGAGACGACTGCATACAAACTCCACCTCGGTCAGGTGCAATGCCTGTGACGGGTGGAGTCACCTCCGTAACTGCTCGGGCCTGCGTACGCACCGGCAATGGACCACGTCGTTCGTGGCCCCATGCTGTGCAAACCGGACCGCCTCCACGGCAAACCACCACCCGCCTGGGCAGCACGCAATCAACACACCCACACCCCAACACAACACAACACAACAATAGACAAACAAACAAACACAATAGCACCCACACACCGCCGCCGGCAACTCCTAGTCCCTCCGACACTCTGCTCTGTTTGTCAGTCCAGAATATACCGTAACGTGACATCAGTCAAGTGGAACTCTTGCCTTGGCTGGTGCCACTTTAGGGCGTGCTCAGGACTTCGCAACACACGAGATTGGACGAGTGACTATGTGGGCCCCTGCTGTGCTGCCCCGTCGCATCCCTCCCCCGCGACGCCGCCAACCACCACCACAAGGCAGCACCCCCTTTTGCAGCACGTACAGCAGGGGGCCGGCAGGCAACACAACTCTTTAACACCACACATCACAATCGGTCTCCCAAGGCACACAAAGGTGCTACAATTTAACTGTAACGGACTCCAAAGCAAGATCGAGGAGATAACTGTCTTCATGGGAAGGCATGGAATATTAATAGCTGCGGTCCAAGAGACGAAGTTGCGATCGTGAGCGAGATAATGGTGGAGGTTTAGCGTTCATCACGCACCACACCGTGCAGTATCGTCTCATTGAAGCAGACATCGACCGCAGGGATACCATCCTAGAATGTCAGGGTATTGCTATCCGGTCAGGCGATGTTGAGCTCGAAATATTTAACGTATACATACCCCCTGTCACCTGCTGCCCGGCAGGATATCACCCTGATATAGGTGCGCTCCTCAGAGGTGAAAACCGTATGGTAGTAGGTGACTTTAATGCGCACCACGATCTTTGGCACTCAAGCCTGTCAAACGATCGTAGGGGAACAGACTTGGCTGAGCAGATAGACGATTTGGCATTCTGCACAATGAACGACGACGCACCCACCAGGATTATGGGTAACTGCAGTAGCTCGCCAGACATCACAATAGTCAGCGCTGGTCTGATAAACAGCATAACATGGCGACCTATGCTGACTCTAGCATCAGACCACCTACCCATAGTCATCTCGATAGATAAACCAACCGACTTTGCCTCCGCCAAACACCGGACCTATATCAACTTTTCTAAAGCTGATTGGAAAGGTTACGCGGAATTGACCGAAAACACCTTCACAGCGCTCCCCACACCAACCGACGTCCATCTCGGTGAACGTAAGTTCCGCAGGGCTGTCACTGCTGCTGCAGCTCGCTTCATACCGGCAGGATGTATATCGGACCCACGTCCAAACTTCCCTGCCGAAGCGGCTGTTCTAGCCGATGAGCGTGATAGCCTTCGTCAGGCCGATCCCGGAGATCCCCGTATCAGGGATCTCAACGCGGAGATTCGGCAACTAGTAAACGTACATAAGCGGAAGAAGTGGGAGGAGCATCTGAAGACCTGTAACTTCACCTCTGGTGTGAGCAAGCTTTGGTCAACTGTGAGGTCACTGTCCAATCCGACGAAGCACGACGACAGAGTCGAAATTTCCTTCGGCGACCATGCTTCGTCGGACCCGGAACGATGCGCGAGCTATTTTAGCCGGCAGTTCATACTGCATCCTCCGGTGGACAAAGCCAAGCGTCGAGTGACCAGAAGGCTGCACAAACTGCCAACAACCTGTGCCCCCCTTGCTTTCACTTGCGGTGAAGTTCAGGTGGCCATCGGGAAGGCGAAAGCCTCCAAAGCCATGGGTCCCGACGGAATATGCATGCTGATGCTGAAAAATTTGGGTCCTGCGGGGGTAGCGTACCTAACGGAGGTCCTCAACTTGTCAATGGCCACTCTCATCATCCCAGACATCTGGAAGGTGGGGAGAGTGGTCCCACTGCTCAAACCGGGGAAACCCCCCAACAAAGGAGATTCTTATCGTCCGATAACACTCCTTTCCCCGGTAGCGAAGACACTCGAGGCCTTGCTACTCCCGTACTTCACAAACCACTTGACCCCAGCGAAGCATCAACATGGTTTCCGTAAAGTGCACAGTACAACAACAGCACTTAACGCCATAAACACTCAGATAACTCGTGGCCTTAACCGAAACCGTCCCTGTGAGAGAACGATTCTGGTAGCGTTGGACTTGTCAAAGGCGTTTGACACCGTCTGCCATTCCACGCTACTAGAAGATATAGAGGCCTCCTCTCTCCCACAGAGGCTCAAACGGTGGTCGGCTAATTATCTGAGTGGTCGACAATCGTCGGTAATGTTTAGAGACAAAACGAGTAAACAGAGAAAAATAAAACAGGGGGTTCCACAGGGTGGTGTCCTTTCCCCGCTACTGTTTAACTTTTACATTTCCCAGCTCCCTCAACCACCAGAGGGAGTCTCGATTGTCTCTTATGCCGACGATTGCTCGATCATGGCGACTGGGAATGGAATTGATGACCTGTGTTCGAAAGTAAACGGGTATCTCTCCGAACTTTCTCTCTTCTTCACTGCAAAGTGTCTCGCCCTCTCCCCTACGAAATCCTCCGCGCCCCTACTCACAACCTGGACGAAGGAGGTCAGGCTACCGCTGGGGATTCACGTCGATGACACACCAATTGCGACGGTGAATAACCCCAAAATACTCGGAGTAACATTCGACAGCCTGCTCTCCTTCTCTGCGCACGCAACCGCTACTGTCAATAAAGTACAGAGCCGCAACAAGGTCCTCAAGTCGCTAGCCGGCAGTACTTGGGGCAAAGACAAAGAAACGTTGCTGGCAACATACAAGGCAATAGGCCGGCCGGTTTTGAACTACGCAGCGCCAGTGTGGTCGCCAGGGACTAGTAGGACGCAGTGGACGAAGCTACAGACTGTACAGAACACCGCACTCAGGACAGCGACAGGATGCCTCCTGATGTCGCCCGAACACCATCTACACGGCGAGACGCAAATGCTCCCCGTAAAGGAGCACAATATAATGCTCTGCAAGCAGTTCCTGATCGGGAGCCACAGAAGAGGCCACCCAAGCAGGCAGATGCTTGCAGAGGAGCCCTCGCCTAGGCACGTCAGGAGGCATCTATATGAACTGACAGACGAAGTCCAGGGGTTCATCAAGCAACCTCTGGACCCGACAGCTTACCGACAGGCCCTGAACGGCATTCACAGGGACTCAGTCTCGAGTTATGTAGACTCTAGACCTGTGAATGCCGTTCTAGGCATACCACCCCCGGACATAGACGAGACGGAGCTTCATCTGCCTCGGGAGACTCGCACAACACTTGCACAACTTCGCTCCGGCTACTGCAGCAGGTTAAACTCCTACCTGAGTAGGTTGAATGAGGATGTGCCGAATGAGTGTCCGGCATGCGGAGAGAGCCCACATGACTCGAAACATCTCTTCGCATGCCCGGAAAACCCGACAACCCTAATGGCCTTGTCCCTGTGGACAAACCCCACAGAAGCTGCACGCTTCCTAGGGTTGCCGTTAGTGGAACTTGACGACAACGACTGAGATACCAACCGTCCTGGGCGGGGTTGTTGTAGCCGCTACAACAACAGCAACAGCAACAAGCAATGTTGTGTTGCTCGAGCACAATCTCCACCTGATATTGCTACTTTGGCATTATCAATTTTTCTTTCCAAATACTGTAGCCTTTGCTCAATTAATCCTGGACCTTGGACGTTGGGGACACCCATATTCGACTTAACAAGTGACTTAATCTTAGACCATATTGTCTCTACTGGGTTCAGCATGGGCGAATATAGTCCCAAACGAAGCACATTTGCCTGCCCATTCGAATGCTCTTGCACGCCAGATTCAATTCTGGAATGACAAGGCGCATTATCACATATAATAACCAAGTCACTCCAGTTGTTTCCAGAATCACGCCACTTCTGTAAAACGTTACCAATCCAGTGAATTCATTAATCAGTATTAAAAGAGCCTCTTTTGATAATTTTGAAGGTAAAATATGAGTTATCTTTACATTAACGACAATGACATGGAACGAATTTTGCAAGGGGAATTAAAAATCATGGAATCTTGTGTTGAGCTATTAAAATCTTTTGAAGAAGCCACACAGGAACTAAGCCGCTCTGATCTCATATCATGCGTGATTAAACGATATGTCTAAAAAAATTTCACACAGCTCATCCTAGACCTAGAGTAAGAATAACGATAAAAAAAATCAAAATAACAATGTTTGTTTTTTCATACACTATCGTGCGCAATTTTATTGTTTCATTGATTTTTATGTAAATTACTATTTGCTTTATGCATCTCTGTACCGTACTAATTATAATGATTGAGCGTTTATAACTCTTTGGGGGTTACTTGTCATAATGTTATCTTATTTTATACTATTCTTTTAGGTTCTTGCTTTAATGTTTGAATTTGGTGAAGTTACACTTAGTATACAGAGACAATGCCAAATGCTTTTTCTTAAAATTTCAGACCTTTTACTCGATTTGTTCAAATAAATTGAAGTGAAAGGTATGGAATTTTAAGTAAAAGCAATTGCTTTGTTTTTATGTATACGGCCCAATATAATTTTCAACGTTCAAGCTTTATTAAGACTATTAAATTTGAATAAATAAAGATATATTTGATAGATCCTTTGCTTCCGTTTAAAAATAACTAGCGTTATATTATTGCATTTGAATATTTATAATTTTGCATATTTTTCATTTCTTATTTTTTTCAAATATTTTGAACAATTATTTTGTGGGTACGAGTACAAATTACAAAGGGGCATGACATATACTACATACTTTTATGTTATTGAATACTTCTCACAGACGCGCCACGTTTTGTATCACACGAATTCAAATGAACAAATTTCTAACATCAATCAAGTACCAATTTTGATGGACAAATTACAATAAAACAGTTGACACGTTTGAAGAGAACATAATGTGAGCGTGGGAATATTTTGTTTCATATTTTTTGTTATTTTTAAACAACTAAGGCTAAATTATAACTATTGGTAATGAGAGGAACGAAAACTGTACCAAAATCACTTTGCTTGCGTGATTTTTATTCTCCTTTTTTCTAGGTTGCTTTTTCGTTATCCTCTATTGTAATTACTTTGCAATTATTCCCTTTCGCGTTGCACATCAGAAAATAATTAAATTAACAACTAAGAATTACGCAACTTTACACTTTTTAGCAAACGGTGGCTGTGTTAGCTGATCTGCACCCGGTTCTAGTCAATTGATCTGCAGCGGCTTCGCTTCTTCCCACGTGAAACCGTCACGTCCAAAGTGTCCATAAGTACTTGTGCGCTGGTAGATTGGCTGTCTGAGTTTCAAGTCTCTGTTTGGAGAAAAAGCGAAAATATTAATTCAAAAATATATTATTATGCTTATGCGTGTGCACATTTAACTACAATCTAAACTCACTTGACAATCATGCCCGGCCGCAAATCGAAATTACGCTTAACAATTGCGAGCAATTCTTTTTGTGTCTTATGTGAGGTGCCATAATCGAAGACTGTAATGGAAAGTGGTTCGGCCAGGCCGATGGCATATGAGACCTGCACCAAGCAACGCCTACAAAGTCCCGCCTTCACCAGCGATTTGGCAACCCAACGCGCAGCATATGCAGCCGATCTGTCTACTTTAGTAAAGTCTTTGCCTGAAAATGCGCCACCCCCATGGGCGCCCCAACCGCCATAAGTATCGACGATAATTTTACGCCCGGTCAAACCTGCATCACCCATTGGACCGCCAATGACGAACAATCCACATGGATTTATATGCACAATTGTGTTGGCATCGAAATATTTGGCTGGAATGACTTCTTTGATGACCTTATTCATGACCTCTTTGCGCAAGTCCTCCAAGCTAATCTTTTCCGAATGCTGCATGGAAACGACAATGGTGTGTACACGCTTTGGCACAGCTGCGCCCTGATTGAAAAGGTACTCGCAAGTGACCTACCGAACAAAAAGGTAAAAATTAGATTAAAATTACAATGTGATACCAATTTTTAAATGCAGGCATGTACATATCTACAGTCTAGAGAATATACGCACCTGTGTCTTTGAATCGGGACGCGCCCAACTGAATTCGCCTGAGCGACGAAGTTCTGCCAATTTCTGATTTAATTTGTGTGCCAAAACAACAGTCAATGGCATGCATTCTTCGGTCTCATCGGTGGCATAACCAAACATGATGCCCTGCAAACATTAAACATTAGTAAAATTTTACATATGTACTTATGTATAAACATGCAAAAGAAGCGCAAAGAGCGTGAAAAACAATTAAAAAGCGAAGCATTCAATAAATAACACATTTGTTAGTAAGCAAGCAACAAAACAAAGCATATAATGGTTTTAGTCACATAATGAGCTATGAGGCTTTACAAGAAGTCAGAGATTCGAAAATGTTCGCTAAATTTTGACCAAATACGTAGAAAATCGAATATCAAATCAAAAATGTTCAACCAAATGCTAAATGGTTTGCGAAATTTACGACTTTACAAAATTAAATGCAATCACCGTGTCCGTGCACCAATGCTAAACTATGTAAATATTCCCGATGCGTGTACATTTACGTGTATAAAAATAGTAAGGGAGGCCAGTTGTTCGCTATTAGATTCTAAGAACAGCTTAAAAATTTGTTTAAAGTTATTTTCATTTGAAAAAAAGTTTTTACAGTCAAACAACCAACCCCGTTATGAACAAGAAAGCATATTTCATTCATACAAAAATACGTACTATTTGTACATATGTATGAATTTGTGTGTGTGTGTATGGTTGTGCATCTGCTGCATAAAATTACTATGCACTACAATTTTGTTGCATTTTTTTAGCAAAAAATACGTATAAAAATTTACATGTAGAAAAATCAAGTTCAACTGCTACTTTTTTGTCAAAATACAATAGAAAAAAAACGTAAAGAAAATTTAAGCAACAGCATTGAAAAATTATTCGTTAACACGTTCACACCTGATCTCCGGCACCGATTTCTTCATCGGCACGATTTATATGCACTCCAGCAGCGATTTCCGGCGATTGTTGGTCCAATGCTAACAAAACGTTGCACGTTTTATAGTCAAAGCCTGGGATTTGATTTTTTTTTCGTATAATATTTAGGGTTTTTTTGGTTTTGAAAAGAAAAGAGAGAAATGCATACAAAATAGAAATAATTGTAAATATTATTGATGATTTTTTTTCTTTCATTGAGTATGCTATAAATTAGGCGAAGATTTCAGAACATAAGCACGATCGTTGGAGGCAACTTTATAACGACTTCCATTAATTTAATGCATTGGTTGCAACAAAATACCAACATCAGCCTTTTTAGATTTTTTTTTTATTCATGTCAATCAAGTCTACATAAGTTACAGGTGCAACTCAAATCTAATTACATACATATATATGTATACGTATTACAAAATTTTTTCTTTAGTGTGTATTGCCAACGTAGCATTCTTTATCTGCCACTCCCACGCCAGCAGATAATCGCTATACTTTATATAAATGAATGCAAATGTTGATTTTAAGCAAAAAAAGAGATAGCATTCGATGGTTATTTCTTCAACGAAACAGTCGTTTGTAGAGCCTTTTGTTTGAAAATATTGTTGAATTTCAACATTAAATAAATTTTTTACTAAACTTTTGTTACAATCACAGCTCAAGTCACAGTTATGATTAGTTAATATGTAGTTAAATAGTAAATGGGAATTCAACAATGTAGGGGTTATAGAGAAAAATTGCAAAGTCAAGGCAAGACGTTTTATTAAAAAAGTCTCCAGAATCTCAAAGAAAATTAATTTTTGTTTTGGAATTGCACTATCATATCTAAAAAGGAACAATTTACAAATCAAAAGTGCAATAATCTTATTTTATTCTTTCAGGACCGGTCTTAATTGAAGGTTTCGCCAAATTAACCACTAAATGAAAATCAGCTTTTTGCCATTTTCTTTTTATTTTTGGTATTTTTTTTAGTAAATAGTTGAGTTAATAAAAGCTTAATGAATAGCTTAGATATACTAAGCAAAATTCCTTAAACTACACAGAATATGCTTAGCAATAGATCTTTGGAAAACTGTTTCCCTTTTGCTCATATTCATATTATAGTAGCCTGGATCGAGGAAAGCGGCCAACTTGTTGAACTTAATGGTTACAAATCGGCTGATCATTCCCACTACAGTTGGGTCTGCGCCAGGGACTGTCACTTTTTGGGATTATTTTATGCGGTTATAACAGCAAAAACATTGATCAAGTTAAACCCGCGGTAGACGAGAATTTGATGACGCGTACTGACAACTAGATCTGAGTTGATTCTTTACAACAATTTGGAACGAAAACGGTCGTGTTTAGCACGTGTGTTGTGGTTGGATTGGAAGCGTGTGGTATTTGTTGAGTACTGTTTAAAATTGAATAGTTTTAATGAATATGTCATCCAGAATCACGCACAGCACGTTAATTGCAAAGGAGTTATGTTCCATCACAACAACGCGCTATCGCACACATCTTTGACGACCCGTCAAAACTTATTGAAGCTGTGATAGGATATGTTGCTACATACAGCATATTTGCCTGACTTTGCGATGTCAGACCTTTACTTGTATCGCTCTCTTCAAAACTTCTTGTGTGGAATAGATTCAGATGAGACAATTAATTACCACCTTTTTCAGTTTTTCGTCAATAAAGACATGTTCTTCTACGAACGGCGTATTATGCAACTCGCCAAAAAATGGCAAACGGCCTAAAGCAAAGCGGAGAATATATCATTGATTTCTCTTTAATTTTTATGTAAATAAATAACTTTGAAAAACATGCAAAGAAAATGATGACTTTTTTCTCCACCCAATAACACTTGATGAAAAGACTAATTTAGGATAATTTGTAATTTGATTTAAATCCAGGTTTAAGTAATCATTGTCATTGTCATTGTCATTGCCATTTTACTTTCCATGTACAATAGATAATGGATTAAGTACTATGAAAAGACCTACTTAAGTCTTACTCTGTACTACTAGTAATAATAAATAATTGTAAAATGTTGAACAGTTATTTGGTAAATTTAGAATATTTTCGTTATATTACACCAAAACTGCTAAAAGAAGAAAAGTCAATTTTCAAAAGATCTCAGTTATTCCTATTAGGAGAGTCTGTTGTTGTTGTTGTAGCGGCTACAGCAACCCCGCC